GAAATAGCTATTACTATAACCAATGTCAAGATGTTAACTAATTGTCATCTTAGTAACACTCCCCAACTTTGATATAGAAATAGTATTTTAAAGGAAGAATTAATATTCAAGGAAGAAGATTAAAGAAAATAACTCACAACTTACAAATTCATTAAGCTTCAAAGTAGCAAAACCAAGATGGAGGAGTTTAGCTCCTCATTTGGAGACTAAACATGATGCAAAATATAAAGAAATGCTATTCTATACTGAGCTTAGAAGTATGGAAGAAGGGATATCTAAAAGTGAAGGAAAATGAGGTTATTTATAGGTGTTTTACAACACCTTTGGCCGGGTACCCGACCGGGTAAAGTGCCCACCCGACCGGGTGCATGTCAAAATCAAATATCCTCCACGTTCTGGTGATCTTCAGCATGTTAAAGTGTCCCGGGTCAAGTCAGACCCGACCGGGTGGGGTAGGGGACCCGACCGGGTGAGTGCACTTTCCAGGCACTTTCGTTTGTTGAATCAGACCCGACCGGGTGAAGTCTTCTACCCGGTCGGGTATTTGCTCCTGGGCAGTAAAACCTCTTTTTTCTTCACTTCAAAGTCATCCTTTTCAACACCATAATTCCTAATTCTACTTTACAACTTACAAATGAAGATTAAAATACAATTACAACTAAAATCACACAAATGTTTACAAACTAAATAAAACGATAAACAATATACATAAATCAAACATAAAAATATACATTTATGCACTACTAATTAGTGCATATCAACATTCATCATCAAATTGCACATTAACATCAACACATTCAATGTCCAGAGATATAGAAGAATAAACTTCATTTGTAGAACCAAAAGATACTGTATGTAATGAGTTGTCTTCATATTGAATAGAGTGATCAACATTGAAAGCATGAAAATTAAAAGATATATCCTCATGTTGAGGGAATGAAACAGAAAAGGCGCGATGATGCAAGACATAATTATCTTGAAGTTGCTCAAATTCGGTATTTGGAGACATCAAAGTAAGGCACAAGGCTGCTTGGAACTCACCGGTGAAAAAAATCAATTTTTAACATTTTCACCCGAAAAGTGTTGCAATCTACAAAACATGTATGCAAGTGTACTAAAGAGGGTGTATGACACCCCATGGTTGGGTGGAGGGTTGCTACCCCATTCATCTGCACGCTAGGGAGAAAGGAGAAAGCATGTACTTCAATTTTTACAAAACTGTATCATAACTCATAGCTTTTAATGATCTTTCATATGACACCAATATTGTATATATAAAGTTTAAAGAATGTGAAGTTTCAACTACCAGAGGTTTCTAGACTCATTTTTTTCTTAAATAGATCCATGTGTTAAAATTAAGATCTCACATTTGAAATGATTTTTACATCTTTCTGTTATTTTTTACAAAACTACTCCCTCCTTTCCATTTTGGTTATCTTACTTTTCTTGTTAGGCTGTTTCAAATTGACTGTCTTGTTTCATTTTTAGCAAGAAATATATAGTTCATATTATTTTACTTTATTCAACTCAAATCTCAATTACAAATTTACTTTTAAACCACTTTCTTAATAATTGTGTCAAACTAAAACAAGAAATCCAATATGAGACAGATCGAAGTTGTAGGTCTTAAGTAACAACAACAAAACTAAAATCCAAATTTATTTATTCCTATATTTTAATATTTGAATTTTTAAATCATAATTATACACAATAAAATTGATAAAAAAATATGTATAAAAAATATGAAAGTAAGAATTTAATTAAAAATTGTGATTGATGAATACATGGACAGTGCTGGATTATATATAAAAAATTAAAAAAGCAATTACTAATTTTTCAAATAAAATGCTGGAAACTTTGATAAGAAAATTGCTCCCTATAAGATCATTTCATACCAATTTTACAAAAAGAAAACCTAGAATGGTTTCTCATGTATGTGCATTTCATTTGGTTCTATTTTAGGAAACTTTGTTTTAAATTTTCACTTTTACCCATTCAGCTAGTTATTAAATTTAAAAAAAGCACTTCGCTAATGACGAGAAGCTTCACGCTCCACCCTTCTTAATTATTCAGCATTCTCATAAAATGTTTTCAGTGTTCCACGTTCGACACCTACGTATGAATTCAACTTTCAACTACATTCATATGCTCTAACAATTGCGGACGAATTCGTCTTATGGAATCATACTTGATTTGTTCTTCAAGTGTTGATCTTCAAAATGTTGGTAGTTTCCATGGTCGAGCGAACCTTCCATTTTTCTAAATAGAATTCATTTATACTAATTGTTTGCTTAGTTTTTTGCAATCATGTTTTTATTCCAACCTTTGTTTTCTTTTTGTAATCACTTTTGTTCACCGTCTTCTTTGTTCGATTATTTTGCACCTGCACCTATTATGTTAGTAAATATTTACATATTTTAACCTCCACGGGCTTATTAGCTAAATGGCAATTGGCACATACAATACGGTCAGTTACTTCTCGTGGATTTTCATAACTCTGTTGTGCAAAAATAGGATATGCATTTGAAATGGATGTCCGAGTTATGATATATAACATGATCAATGCGGAAATCAATCGAGTAATCTGTTTATTTATCCAAAGAAAATGTATCTATACGCTCATGCTTGATTAATTCGAACAATGTATTATGAATATACTTATTCTATTTTAAAGCTTTTTAGGTGTCTACCACACATGTATTATTAGTTTTTTGAGTAGTTAATTACCTCATGCTTTTGATCGTTGAAACTCTTGTCTCTTATTATATTCTTATTAGTGTATAACTTCACATATATTGACATTATATATATGTAGTTTGTAAGCAGAATTCTGAAATTTAGCCAATCAGCTCATTCTATTTTGTAATAAATAATTCCATTTTAATTATTAATTCCTCTTTTTTTAATCATATCAAATGATGGTAGTTCTAAAGGTTGATGGTAATTGGATGATTCTCATATTTCGAGTAATAAAATAACTTGTGGGCTTATAGTTCGAGATGAGACACCATATTATTCTTATTATTACTTTGATCTATTCATGTATTGGTGTGTTTGCTTTGAATGAAAAAACAAGATTACTTCTTTGGTTAAAGAATGTCCTCCTCCAGTGGTTGCTAATAATGATTATAGTTTGAATTTTTACTTGACTCTAAAAATTTACATCTATCTTGATTATACCAAGTATCCTTTGTGTATTGAGTTGTGTTGAGGTTTATTCCTTCAACTCCAAAGTCCCAACACCTTCTTTTGGGTTTCGAGTGAAGTGTTTAGTGGGTTTAGTCGAATAAGTGGTGCAAGCAAGTAAGGAAGAACAAGTAAGAAGAGTAGTAAGTGGCCAGTGTCCTATTCAATCAATAATAAGAGTCTATCACAACACACTTTACTACAAGTCTGCTAGGCCGTTCGTTTATCTGAGTTAGGAAGAAGGGGGATAATTGCTATTGGTAGAGAGTATAAGTTTCCAACCCTTTACAATGAAATGAATGCTTCTATTTATACCACTAAAGGGTAGATAATACCGATTATGTGGGGGGTTGTGAGTGGCTAACTTCCCAACCACCAAATATACTGCATTTAATGCGTTTCCCGCCAAGGGATCTGGACGAGCGTCCCCCTGATCTTGAGTCCTGGATCCAGATGAGTGCAAGGGCAAGGATCCGCTCGGCTTATGTCGGTCGTCCTACCGAAGGCCATAGATCATCTGGCCAAGGCCATTGAGGCCGAGCGTCCTTGTGGACCCGACGAGTGTCTGACCGACATGTCGGATTGTGCTTAAATTGGGCCTTGATGGTTTCCTTGCAAAGGGGTAATGGTCCGATATGCTATCGGGCCTATTAACCCAACAAGTTGTTTCCTCTGTCCACATCTATTGCTGCCCACTTCTCTTCCGAACTTGTTGCATTTGATTTAAATGTGTCTCCAAGTACTGAATTTGAGCAAGTTCAAGATGATCTTGTCTTGCATCTTTGCACCTTATTCTGTTTCATCCCCACAACATGAGGATAAAATACCTAAATCGGCAAAAATTGTAGCGAGATTGTTCGACTGGCTCTAGTTAAGGGACCAAATGCACACTATGCCTTTCACCCACACAAAATGTACAAGCATGGGGAGAAACTTGCAAGTACTTTTTACTCCAAGTGTTACTCGATATACATATTATTCATGGTTTCAATTTTAATGCTTATAATGCATTTTAGTATCTACATATGTATTTGATGGAAAGTAAAATGTATTACTGATTTTAAGTCTAGTTTGAACTAGTCTTTTGAAGTCCGGTCAGGTAATCAGACTCTTGAGTCCAATTTTATTTACCCCCTCCCCCCTCGTCCCTCCCCGTCATGTGGCAATGACAATTCTTTTTTTTCTTCAAATTGTTATAACTTTTATATTCATGAGTCGTTTTTATAAAAAGAAATATATCAAATTAAGAAATTATTAATGATATTTCAAAATGGTACCAATATTGCATTTGAAATTTTTGAAAAATATGTCTTTTAATGGTCTATTTTAGCGTTTTTTTTTTAAAACTTGACATAGGCAGTATTCATCAAATTGATACAATATGAAAGATCATAAAAAATTATAAAATTCTATACTAACTCGGTCCCAAATTATTTTGCAAAGTTAACATGCTTTGTCAACCAATGTAAAGTTAAATCCACCCTACTTATAATTAATTCAGTTTTTAAAATTAAAATTTACATATTCAGAAACTACATTAAAATCTCTATAAAGTTGCAAAATCCAAATTAAATTTAATTTAATAAGTAATATCCCATTTCGGTAAATAAAATGAATCTATTTAACTTACAACTTATATTTTACAACTCAATTTTGGTCGGAGAGTAAATTTTTTTTAAAAAAATTGGACCATATATGAAAATATTAAAACAATTGCCATAAAAATTGCCATGACACATGGCAGGCAAGGGTGAACATCACCCTCCTTAGAAGGTGAACAAAATTGATTTCCATACTTCTATAATTTTAATACTCCGCAATCCGCACTATTTAAGCCTATTATGGCCTGAACCGACATAATTCATCTAATTGAGTAAATCTAAATTTTATGTAACTTTGTCCTAACTTGAAATTTCATGTTTGGTATGAACTTCGGGGAGCATTTTGTTAGTATCAAAAAATAAGTTCATCACAAAATACACCAGAGAAGATGATTTGGGGTGGCTGGGCGATCTGGTGTGAGAGGAATCACCGGGTTTGGCAAGGTGCAATTTCCACAGTACAACACCTGGTAAACCATGCTCGGGCAACAGTTGAAAATTGGCGTCAAACCCATGAAGGGTGCCGGAACAAGCCATAGCAGAGGCGAAAGGTGACAAAGACTTGGAGGAAGTCGTGACCAGGGATTTTGAAGCTGAACCGCCTGAACGTGGATGCAGCAATTCGAATGAGCAAATGCAATCTAAGGTGGTGCCTACGGGATGACATGGGAGGCTTTGTGGCGGGGTCAGCCTGTTCGTGGCCGGGGAACTGGACTCCGCTTAGAGCTGAACTGCCAGGGATCTAAGATGTTCTCAATTGGCTTAAACTACACAGATGGAACAAGGTCAAGGTGGAGACCGATGCAACTCGAGCCATTGCAAAAATCACACACGACTCTAGTTGTTCTTCGATTGGCTTGTTGTAGGGATGGATTCGGTTCGGGCCACCCGGCCCGTGACCCGGCCCGGCCCGGTACTGTGCGGGCCCGGGACCGGCCCGGTCGGGCGGTCCGGGACCGGGTCTGGGCCCGAACCGGGGGGAAGGGGCGGGGCGGGCTCGGTTCAGCAATTTTGTGACCCGGCCGGGTCGGGCCCGGGCCCGGGTCCGGTTCGATCAAATTTAAAAAAAAAAAAAAATTTTGGGTTGGGCTCCTACTAGCCGTTGGGGGTGGGGCTGGGGACAACCCAAACGGCTATATAGCCGTTGGGTGGGTTATAGGGGGGGTCCGGGGGGGTTGGGTGGTGGGGGGGGGTGGTGGGGGGGGGTGGGGGGGGGGGGGGGGTGAGGGGTAAAAAAACCTATAAATACTCCTAATCTTAAACATTTTTTCATCTCTTCTCCAATTCTTCCTAAATCCTATTTTTAACTCTCTACTCTCTAATTCTCTTATTCTCCAATATATTATATATCTACTCTCTAATTCTCTTCTCCAAGAAGTTAAGATGGAAAATCAAAATACCATTATACGGTATAATTTTGATAAGCAGAAGGACCCGAAGACCGGGATGTGGTACGCAATTTGTAAATGATGCGAAAAAAAATGTATTATGGGGGCTTCAGGCGGATTCGGGATGGCAATCAAGCATATGAAGTCATGTGACAAAGCCAAAGGATCGGGAGGTGCGGGAAGTTCCGATTGATTACAATTTTCAAAATGTTTATCTCTTAAAGTTTGTTTTAATTTTCAAATGTAGTTCCTATTTCATTTCAAATAAATGCAATTGAAGTTTGTTTTTAATACTCGTATCAAACTATAAACTATAAAATATAAAATATAAATTAAAAAAAAAAATTAACCGGCCCGGCCCGAACCGGACCCGACCCGTGACCCGGGCGGGTGGCCCGGCCCGAACCAGACCCGTCCAACCCTCGGGCCGGTCCCGGGCCCACTGTTCTTGAACCGGCGGCCCGAATCCATCCCTAGCTTGTTGGGTGAGGAGTTGAGGACATTAGAGACTTGGCGAAATCATTTTTAAGCATTTCATAATTTCATTTAGTCATAATGTCATATTATGCGTTCAACGAATAAGACAACCATGCTTTAGCAAGAGTTGCTTGTTCTTTTCCCGACTCACGATTTTGGTGTTATTCTCCTCCTGCATTTATCGTATCGTCTTGGGATGCTGATTTGATTAATGATAATTGTCTTCTTTTTGCAAAAAAAAAAAACATTATACCAAAGGGATTGTGTAACATAGAATTGATTTTTTCTTGTACATGTTATTCTCCGACCCCCTTGACGGCTTGACCCTCCGATTAGGATGGCATTTGAGATTCACTGAGCCGCCCTACTAAGGCTATGCGCTGCCTTTTCATGCATATTGGGGTTAAAATGAAAAAAATTACTTGACAAAATCTTTGTATTAGAATTAAGTAATTAACTATGTAAAATGGTAAAGAATGTCAGAGTATTCCCAACCTTTCATCCTCTTTTCTTGGCATAGACGTAGTTCACCTTTTTTTATAACTTTTTGCATCCCAACATTTTATTTAGACACATCATTTAAACTGGAATCAAGCTTTATTGAAGCTTTACTTTTATCACATGTAGATAAATTACTTCATTTTTATATGTACGCCTGAATGTATGGAAGAATGAGCACCAACTCCACCTAGTACTCCTATAGAAGCCGGAATAAGGCCGCTTGGCCCTTGTACTGTTCTACGATTACAACTTACAAGTATAAGTGGGAATATATGTGTTTTTTAAACGGAAATATATGTGTTATATCACTTAAATGACCTCATTACCTCAGATAATGGATTTCAACTTTCAGCATATGGCCCCTAATTATACAGCTGCACTACATACTTGGTAAATAAAAAGTTTAAAAGGTTCTGTGTTTTTTTAAATATTTTTTTCACGGTGAGAGCTGAACCCTAGAGGCCAAGACTCCACAATTAGGAGCATGCGCCTCTCTACAAATGTAGCATAGGTCGTGCAAGTACCATTCATATTGCACTCAAGTTGCATCTAATAAATTGCATAATGGTTCATCAAATTTTAGAGGACGTCTAATAAGCGGGACCTCAATGAAAAAAGAACTCAAATTTGTGAAAGGAAAAGTACATGAGCAACCCGATTAGTACATGTATACTATAACCAACTAAAGCTTTGGCACTTCCCTGAGCCTTAGCGCCTTACAAGTTTACAGAACACCTTTTGTTTTTACAGAATCGCTTTCTAAGGTGAAAATGGGAGAAAGAAAAACTACAATGTAATGATAAAAGCAACCCATTTTTCAGGCAAAGTATGATGAGGATGAGGATGTATCAGCCAGAACCTGAAGGGAATTGCGCACTCTGTAAGTTCCAAACAAATATATTGGTATAACTATGGAAGATCACAATTTACATACCTCAAGTTGCTCTTCGGTGAAAGAATCTTTTTGTATATTCCATGTATCCGCATGAGTACGCCGAAACTCAGCCACTGCTTTTGTTACCGTAGATTTGACAGGGGATGGCTCCGAAACAAATTGAGCCAGTAGAGTCACATACTCAGGCAACCAACTGAAACAGATTATTAAAATTCAATGATGTGACTTTTCCATTCTAGATGAAATCAAAATGTCCACATTTTTTATTTGAACAGCCAAACATATTGCTTTCCTATTTGATTCTGTGTTCTCAAGTCCATGATAAATATGAATGCATAATAATGGACCCATATTTTTTGACCATAATATCTAATAATATCTAAAGTCAATTCTGTTGATTCAGAAAAAAAAAGGATGACACCCCATCACCGAGGGCCCCACAGAACCGACCAGACAATTATCCGGGAGGATGTACGTTGAGCTTTGGTCACGCTCTTATGGAAAGAGAGTGGGGTTCCATCCCAAGTCATTGCTTGGAGTTGAACCCAATTATGTTGAGTCAGAATGACGTCTAGTTGTAAATTCAATCATATCTAAGTTTAGGATTATCTATTAGAACCAAATTCAAGTTCTACAACTGTTATAAGGACTACAATTTCCGAATTTTAGTGTCCGTCTTGTTTGACTGAAATATCAGAAAAACACAAACTAGCTGTTGCAAGCAGAACTCTGGATTTGGAAAATGGCTATTAGAAACCCATCCAGGCAAATCTGGCTCTTCTACTTTGTTCCAAGAATGTCCCCACAAAATAGTGCCTAGCTCTATTACTTACACAACTAAGATATACTCCCATACAAGTGCGAATTTACAATAATAACCACGGGTTAAGGGGGGCAAAATTGTCTCACTACACATCCAGTACTAAAAGAAAACTGATAATGCAATAACAAGAATGCACTTTTCTAAAACAAATTATTAAAGATGCTTATTTTGATATACAGGTAAAATACAATCTGGACACACCTGGGCATGTCATAAGGGACTGATAAAACACAAGCCGCCAATGCAAGTATCTGACCATGTATGTATGCTACTGACTGCCCTGATGATCTTAAGCTTCTGCAAATGGGACAGTACATTTAATTATGCATTCAAAAACATGCCATATTACAAATATATACATGGACTGCACGCTGTATCTATCTATATCTCTAGGAGAGTTTGCGAAACAATTTTAGGTTGACCATGCTTCACTAAATCATTTCAGTAACCAAGGCCATTTGCAACCCAAAGAGTGAATGGGTGAAAACCCCATATTTGGGCTCATTCACCCTCATTCAGCCCACCAAAACAGCAAAAACTGCCAAAAAGAGAAAAAAAACAAAAAACAAGCACGTGATTGAACGATAGAGCATGGTAAGAACCGGGTATTTCAGTGTTGTAGGGAAAACTAGGTGTTTCTATGGTAGTGCACATGAAGTAATTTCCATCCAATTTATTTCTTTTTACAAACATAAATAACAGAAGAATATATAGCCCAATAATTACACATGTGTTTATATTATTTAAGCAAAAAATATTGACAGTAAATTTTTAACTCTGCTGGGATGCACCAAAAAAAGGAATGAGGTGCAGATACTTTCAGCTTATGTATCTCGGGTTAGTTTATGGCAGAATTACTTTCACAAAAATGCTTTCTGGAAAAGTGCTTTCACAAAGTAGGAATCTTTTTTACTTTTTGAAAAGTGCTTTGGATAGATTATAATCAATCCAAAACCATTCAACTACTCGCCAAAAGGAAAAATCACTTTCAGTTTTCCAAAAGCAAAACTTAAAGGGACAAACTCAGAGATTAGAGAAATGCAAGGTAACTTATGAGCTAAGAAGTATTAAAGTACATGAGATTGATTCATTAACTACATTCGTCTGAAAAGGGTTATGTTTGACCAATGTCGCATTGTAAAACTTTTCTATTTTGGCAAGGTACAACTATGATAAATCATGAATCATTATTATATTTTTTTTAAATTCTAAGCTTTAATAAAAAAATTGACTCTACTAATTCCAACTTTATGCAATCTTCTTACCCCACCAAAGGAGTTTGCAGAATTGAGGGCGAAAGGATTATGCTTTAGGTGTAAGAAACCATTTACACTGGGGCATGATTGTCCCTTTAAAGAGTTGCGAATAAAGATAGCTGAGGAGGATGAAGAGTTGGACCTCCAACAGTATGAGTATTGTGAAATAACATGCCATGAAAGAATTCAGGAAAGAGATGAAAGATATTTTCCGGTCTATTCTATGGCTGAAAATTTCAGTCCCCAATCCGCAAGATTTCAACCTTGAGGACAAGGTTAATTTGAAGGAGGATGGATTGATAGGTAGCGGGAAGAGCATGGGGCGGGACCGGGCTTGGGCCCACTTCCGTGGGCCGGTTACAGGCTGTCTTTATAGTTTATTTAGTATTATTAAGTTAATGTTATGTTTTGGTTTGGGCCTTTTATTAATAGAGTACTTAGTAGAGTTAGTATGGACCTAATTAGGATTTAATTAATTTGGGCTTGATTAGGGTTTCTTGTAGAAGGCTATTTATACCCCTCGCCAGGGTTCATTCTTATTATCTTGGAATAAATTTGGAGTTTAGCCTTCTGGCTCTGGGCAACGGTATTTTTATCGTTGATTATCTGGGCAACGGTTTACCCCGT